AGAGCAAACCGACTGTGATGGTCATGTCTGAATCGTCCTTTTCCTAGCTCTCCTTTGATCGACCGTTGCGGCGCCGATGCGCTCCTCTCCTACGGCTTCTTCGTATCATTCCGCTCTCTTGATTTCCACGCTGATCATATTGACGAGTGGGACGGCTTTCAGTGGTCGCATCCTCTCCCATTCGCAGCCTCGCTTCTGCTCCAGATGACCGCTGCAACAAAACTTTAAGCGATTCGTCCCGTTCCCCACCCTCCCGGACGAATGGTAGAATGGCGCCCCAGTGGCCCCTGACCAGGCAGAGGTGCAAGCGTCCTGTGCTTAGTTGGGATGGGACGGGGGAATGATAGGACTTGAGGGTGACATTGCCAGCTAGATATTGATGGGAGAGGGGGGAGGGGAGGAGTGGGAGGAGGAGAGGCCTTTCTCTATCCTCGATTCTCTCCCCTTCCACTTGAGGCCCCTAGTGCGCAAGGAAAGAGGAGAAGGAGGATTGGAGGAGGAGGAGGAGGAGGAGGAGGAGGAGGAGGATGAGGATGGGAAGGAGGATCAGATGATGGGATTGTGGAAAGGAATGCTGGATATTGCAACTTCGTCTGAGGCTCGTGATGCCGTCGGCGGATGCGGGCTGGGGGGGGCAATCCTTTGTAGTAGATTTCAAGAGGAATCTTCCTGGGGTTTGGCAATAGGAATCCTTCTGCGACGGGGGGCATTGGAACTCTCCAGCGCACTGCCAAAGCAGTGCCAACGCGATGCCTGCGCAATGCCAATTCGATCCCAAATCCGATGCCAATGCAATGTCGTTGGGGGCAATCCTTTGTGGTAGATGTCAGAAGGAATCCTTTTTGCGGAGGGTTTCAATAGGAATCATTTTGCGAAGGGAGGCATTCGGACTCGCCAGCACAATGCTAAAGCAGTGCCTTCGCAATGCCACACCAATGCCAAGGCGACACCAATCCAATTTTAATGTGGCAATCCTGTGTGGTAGATTTCACTTGTAATCCGCTGCGTGGAGGGTTGTGACTGGAATCCTTCTGCGAAGGGGGGCAATAAGACTCGCCATCGCGATGCCAGCGCAATGCGCAAACAGTGCCAACGCAATTCCAAATCAATGCCAAGGCGGCCCGAATCCGATGCCGATGCAATGCCGTTGGGGGCAATCATATGTGGTGGATTTCAATGAGAATCCTTCTTCAGCGGGTTGCAATAGGACTCCTTCTGCGAGGGGGGGCATTAGGACTCGCCAGCGCAATGCCAGCGCACTTTTAACGCAATGCCAGCACAATGTTGAACCCATGCCAATTGGGGGCATCCTCTCTTGGTGTATTTCAATCGGAATCGTTCTGTGAAGGGCTTTGAATGCAATCCTTCTGTGGAGGACTTCAGTTTGAATCCTTCTTGTGGTTGTGTGTGTGTGTGGGGGGGGGGGGGTCACTAGGCATCCTTCTTGATGGGGTGGGTCTATAACACTTGTCCTGTAGAGCGTCGGATTAGGACTCGCCAGCGCAATGCCAACCCAGAACCAACGCAATGCAAAACCAATGCCATGGCGATCCCAACCCAATGCCAACGCAATGCCAATGGGGGCAATCCTTTGTGCTAGATTCCAATCGGGTTCCTTTTTGTGGAGGGTTCCAATAGAACTCTTTTTGTGAAGGTGATAATTAGGACTCGCCAGCGCAATGCCAGAGCAATGCCAAAGCAGTGCCAACGCAATGCCAGCGCAAGGCAAAGGCGATCCCAACCCACTGCCAATGCAATGCTACTTGGGGGAATCTTTGTGTGATTTCAATAGGAATCCTTCAGCGGAGGGCTTCGCATGGAATCCTTCTGTGGAGGATTTCAATATGAACCGTTTTTGTGGAGGGTTTCAATCGGAGTCCTTCCTGTGGGGGGTTGCAATGAGAGTCCTTTTGTGGAGGGTTCCATCAGGATTCGCCAACGCAATGCTTGCGAAGTGCCTGCGCAATGCCCACGCACTGCAAAGCACAATTCCAGCGCAATGCCAAACCATTGCCGAAACAATGCCAACGCAATACCAGCTGGGGTTGCTTTTAATGTGGGGGCATTCCATCGGAATCCGTCCAGAGGCGAGGGCAGATGAGGCCACGTCGGATTTTTTCTCGCTGTCGCCCCCCCCAGAAAAAAAAGAATAACGGCTGCGCATTTGTTGTTCCTCTGTTTTTGTTCTTGGGGGGAGAAAAGCAAAACAAACACCTGGGAGGTGGGGAGGGGGAGGAGGAGGAGAAGGAGGAAGAGGAGGAGGAGAAGGAGGAGGAGGAGAAGGAGGAAAAGGATAAAAAGTAATCGAAGAAGACTCAGGAGCAATGATGCGCTACCCCGAAGGAAAACCATACGGAAACACCACTCGAAAGGCGAGGTCCGCCACAATCCCCCGCTCTCGAGGAGGAGGGGGAGGAGGAGAAAGGGGAGGGGTATAAAAAGGACGCGGCTGGAAGAGGGAGGAGGAGGAGGAGGCGGAGGAGGACGAGGAGGACGAGGAGGAGGAGCATAAGAAGGACGGGGCTGGAAGACGAGGCTGCAGTACTCGAGAGGTTGGCAGCAAGAGGGGGCAGGGAGCCGATTGTCTGCGCACGGGGAAGTGCGAGAGGGGAGGGACGGCGCGGGAGACGGGTGAGGGGGGGGGCCCAAAGGGGCACTTTCGGGCGGAGGGGGGGAGGAGGAGGACGAGGACGAGGAGGAGGAGGAGGAGGAGGAGGAGGAGGAGGAGGAGGAGGAGGAGGGGGGAGGGGCACTGTCGCGCCTCGCGGCTGCATGGATCGGAAGGGGGGGGGGGGTCGGGGTCGGGGTCGTGGCCTCGTGGCCGCCGTGTGGCAGCAGCGATCCGAGCCGGTGGCCCGTGGCAACATTGTGGCTCCCCGTGTCCCCCCCGCGTGCGCGGGCTGGCCGCCGCAGCCGGGCGCCGAGCCGCCCGCCTCCCGCGGGCCCCCTGCTCGACACGAGCGACATGGGTATGGAAACAATGGGTACAATGCCCAACAGCAGTTCCTGTTCATTTTGAACAGGTCTCGCTGTCGGTGTCGCCGCGGCCTGTGTCCATTTGAGACAGGAGGCCGCCTGCCCAACGGTGGCCGCTGCTGGGCATTGTGCCCATTCTTTCCGTGCCCGTTTCGGGCGTCCAAACCTGCAGCCCTCCCGCGGCCGCGTGCAAGAATGGCCGCCCGCTGGCGTGCCCTCTGGTGCGGGCCCAAGAGGGGGGAGGAGCGTTTTCTTTCCTCCCCAGGGTGCCGCTCGTTGCCCAGGCCCCCCTCCCCCCCCTCCCCCCCCTGCCCCCCTCCTCTTCCCCCTCCCAAATCGTACCGGGGGGGGGGGAGGGCTGGACCTCCCCCCCCCACATGCAAAGGTGCACACGAGCAGTTGCTGCGCTGGTGGCGCGGACGCACCCTGGCGGGTGCACGCCGCGGCCTCCGTTACCGGTGCCTTCCCGCCCGACCGAATTTCTCCCCCAACAATCTGAATAAAAACTATCACGGTGTTCACTTCACTCAAACACAGGTTTGCGCGTTTGGATTTCTCCCCCCCCTTCCTCCGATTTTGCCCCCCCCCCCCCCCCCCCCTCGGCCACCTGCAGCCGCGCACCGAAGGTCACCCTTGCCCAGGGTCGCTCTTGCGTGCTGTGTGAGTGGCTGACTTGTGGACTCGGTGGCCCACTGCCTCCCGCCGTAGCCCTCGTCCGCAGGGCGGCTCTTTCGAAGATGGGCTCTCTGGCGCGTGGCCTCCAGGCAGCCTTCTCGTGCTAGCCCCGACTCGAGCCAAACGGTGTGTTGGCAATTTTGTGGACCTTTTTCGTCTGGAGGAGGAGGAGGACGAGGAGGAGGAGCAGAGCGCAGACATAGCGAAGGAAAAAGAAAGCAGCACGAGAAGGAGCGGCACGGTGTTGCTCGCGCCCTGGTGCTGGCCAGGTGGCCCCCGAGAGCGGGCCCGGTGCCATCGTGGCGGAGACGAGCCACGCTTACCAGCCTGGAACATATCCCTATCCCTGTGCTGGGCATCTCCTCATCACGATGCCAATCTTAGGGATTCCCTTATTTTTGGAGGGCGAGTCCCTAAGATCCTCATCGCTTTTTGGCGTGCCAATCTTAGGGATAGGGATCAGCTCGAGGCTCGCAACACGCGGCGGGGGGGCGGTGGCAGACGGCTTCCCGTCGGGCACGGCGCGTCTCGCGGGCGGCATGGCTTCGGACAGAGAGAGGTCCGCTCGGCGTCCGGAGGCACGTGGCCCCGTGCCCCTTATCTCTCCTCGTGGCCCACGCGGAGCGTTCCGGAGAGGGCCTGGCCGTCGAGGATCGAAGGGAGGTGCCGTCTCGTCCTCGAGAGTCGGCGGAGGGGAGGCGAAAGGGAAGCGAGGCCGCCTCCGCTGGCGGAAGCCGGCGGAAGGGCGGCGGAAGGTGGCGGAAATAAAACATGCGTCCCCAAGAGATGACAACATGCTTGTGTTCAGGGTTTCCGGATTTCGTCACATGTCCTCGTTCCCGTCCACGCGGCAGCACGCAGCGCATGTTTCGAGCAGGGCACATCGATTGTTCAGTGTTTCTCTGCGGGGTGAGTGTCTGGATAGCGCGCAGGCGTTGTTCACCATTGATTGGATGTCGGAATTTCGATGAAGTTGAGAATGAGTGTGCGCTTTCGGGAACCACGTGCCGCCCCTGTCTCTGTCGCTGTCTACCGCTCTCGTTATTTCTCTTGTTTCTCCACGTTGTTGTTTTGTTCTCTCTCTCTCTCTCTCTATCTCTGTTTCTGTCTCCCTCTCTCTCTCGCACTCTCTCTCACTCTGTCTATATATATATATAAGAATAGAGATATAAAGTTGTATGTGTGATGTCTGTGTCTCTGTCTGTCTCTTTTTTTCCTTCTCTCTCTTTCTCTCTTTCTGTCTATTTCTATGTCTCTGGTTCTCTCGCACTCTCTCCATCGATTCCTCTTCCCATATGTTTGCAAGCCCAGGGTGGGGGACCCCTCTCCCCCCCCCCCACAAACACACACACACAGACCCCAACAAAAACCGAACCCTCGGATCCGTGGCCCCGGGGGTCTCTCGGGACGCCCCTGCAGGAGGACCCCCAGGCTTTCCGGAGCTCCCGGAAGGCTCTGCTGGGCCTGGACAGCGGGCCCACATCGGTCAGGAGGGCGGCCGAACGCCCCCCCGAGGGCCCCAGGAGGCCCCAGACACCCACCAGACGCTCGAAGACGACCCAAAGGAGACCCCCAAGGGGCTTTCGAAACGCAGGAAAACATGGCGTTTAACATGCTTTTTTGTATGATTCTGGGAATGCTCTGTTCTTCAGTCTTCTGGGGAGGCTCGAAAATCCTCCAAAGACCATCCGCAATGGCTTCCACGCAGTCCAGGAGAGCCCCAAGACGGTGCAACAGGGTTCCAAGATGGCCTAAGAGAGCCCCATGACGGCCCAAGATGGCCCCAAGACACCCTACGAAGCATTCCAAATCGTGACCCGGTCGTTCAGGGAGACCGTGGTTGGAGGCAGTGTGGCCCGAGGAAGCCCCCAGAGGCCCCCAGAAGGCGCCCAGGTTGCCTTCAGAAGGCCCCAAAAAGCCCTTTACAAATGTTCGTGAGGCCCCCAAAAGGGCTCTCCAAGGAAGAGCCTCCGCAAAAAGAGCTGAGGAGGATGGGGAAGAATTCGCAGGGTAAGGCGAGCAGGGGGAAGAGGAATAGGAAACATGAGGGAACCATAATGAATAATAATACTGTTATAACGGCGAAGCCGGAACAGGCAACAAGGAGTTATCGCCACATTGTGTTGTTTCGTTTCTTGCCTTTCCGCCTGCGTGCCAAACTTGAAGGACCAAGGTGTATAGCGCGAAAGGCCAGTGCAGTCTTGTATACCTCTATAAGCATAGTTACACATGTACACATTTACGTATTCAGATGCGTCTGTGTTTATATACATCGATTCATTACCTGCGACCCCCCCCCGCGAAAACGGACCCCCTGAATCCCAGGCCCTCGGGACCCTCTGGACCCCCTGGATCCGTGGCCCCAGGGACCCCGGGCCGAGGCCACAGTCACAAATCGGTCAAGAGGGCGGCCGAACGACCCCCGGGGGACCCACGAGGCCCCAGACACCCACCAGACGCCCGAAGACCACCCAGAGGAGACCCCCAAGAAGCTTCCAAAACGCAGAACCAATACATTGATGTTCCAAGGCTTTTCCATGATTTTGCGGATGCCCTGTTCTTCTGGGCCTCCGAGACCGAGACCGCCTGGGAGGCTCGAAAATCGCTATAAAACCATCCGAAAGGGCTTCCAGGCAGTCCAGGAGAGCCCCAAGACGGTACAACAGGGTTCCAAGATGGCCTAAGAGAGCCCCATGACGGCCCAAGATGGCCCCAAGACACCCTACGAAGCATTCCAAATCGTGACCCGGTCGTTCAGGGAGACTGCGGTTGGAGGCACGGTGGCCCGAGGAAGCCCCTAGAGGCCACCAGATGGCGCCCAGGTTGCCTTCAGAAGGCTTTAAGAAGTCTTGAAACAATTTTGTGAGGCCCCCAAAAGGGTTTTCCAAAGAGGAGCCTCCGCAAAAAGAGCTGAGGAGGATGAGGAAGAATTCGGAGGGTAGGGCGAGAACGAGGAAAAAGAAACATGGAGGAAGGATACCGATAACATTATTATCATGACGGCGATGCTGGAAAAGGCAACAAGGAGTTATCGCTAAATTGTCTGTTCGACCTTCCTGCCATTCCGCCCGCACGCCAAGCTTCAAGGACCAAGGTGCATGTCGCGAAGCGCCAGTGCAGTCCTATGTGCATATATATAGATATGTATACACATATGGATTCAGATGTAGGTACATCTTTCTCTACATGTGCATATATACAACACAAGTATACGCATTCCTTTCTCTCTTCTGTTTCCTCTCTCTCTCCCTCTCTCTCTCTCGCTTTCCTCTCTCTATATATATCTCTCTCTCTCTTCAGCATCTCTCGTTCTCTCTTTCTCACCGTGCCCTCTCCTGAGGCAGCGCTCCCTGCCACTCCAGCCTTCGGCAGGCCACCCGAATCGCAGAAACTGCGCCACAGACGTCGTACATCCTCTTGCGTGTTGGGTGGCGGCAGCGTCTCCAGACATGTCCTAAAGCCCGAGCCCAAGAGCAGGGTGCCTCGTCTCGTCTGCCATCGGGGGCGGAAAAGAGGGGGGTGATGACTAGGGGGGGGGAATCATGGTGGGGGCCATGATATTTCCCCAGATTTTATGGCGCCTCTTCTTATTTCGTTACTTCCCTGGCCCCCTCGCTGGGCCGCGCACATGCCGCCGGTCATGATTTGCACGCCCCCCTCTTGGACACCCCCCTCTTGGCCGCTCCCGATGCTAGTCGTGGCCTGCGAGGAGCGAGCCGAGTGCGAACGGCACCTCTTTCTCGGGCCGCGTGCTGCGCAGGAGCTCGGCCATGGGCGATATCCGACCTCCAGCGTCATCCCCGGCTGCTACAAGGACCACCTCGGCAGCCCCACCCAGGGGAAGCTGTGGCGCCCTCCCCCCGCCCCCCCCTGCCCAGCTGCGGAGGGCAGCATGGCGCGCCAGCGGCGGGTATCGTGAGCGGACCAGGGGGCTGGCAGCGACGGTTAGCCTCTGACACCTTCCGCGATGAGGCCTGCCTTCAGATTGATGATGACGTCAGTGAGTGAGTAGTCCTGTTACTACCCATCAGCGTTTTGATGCGTGCTGGCCGTCATGTTGTTCGATTGTGTGGACGCTCGTTCTCGAGAGGTCATCGGCCTCTCCTTGTCGCACTGCTCGTAGTTCTCGCATAGCGAATGAATGGCCAGAATCTTCAGTGACGGTCCTCGTTGCACATCTGACTCGTACTGTCTCTTGCGTTACAGACTCATCTGCGCAGATGGCCGGTTCCACGGACAACCGGCCACCGGAGTCCGTAAGGAGCCGCCGCCCAGGTTCCTCAAGGATTCACCGTCGTTGTTGGGTTTTCTCGTTGTTGGTTGATGAACTGTGATGTTCCGCTCGCCTTTAGCTTTTATAGTGTGTTTGTTGAAGGCATGTTCTTTTTCCAGCTGCCTGCAGCACACACCCCGCCATCGAGCCAACGCAGCAGCGCGGCAGGAAGGGCGCCGAGTTTCAGACCCTCTCCGGATTCAGCGCTTTGTTCGAACCGGCGCGGGTCTTGAACAAGCCTTTTCTTCTTGCTTCCTCAGCCTCGTGCTCCTCTCCTCCTCCTCCTCCTCCTCCTCCTCCTCCTCCTCCTCCTCCGCCTCCGTCTTCGATCCCCCGCATGCAGGCACCTTGGAGGCTCCGTGGAGACTTGGCTGGGCCTCGTGAGGCTTCCTCGGGCCCTCCTCCGGGGGCCTACTGGGAGAGCCCGCCGGCCGGGCGACGGCCGGGGGAATCGCGAAGAGGCCCGTCCTGGGCGTGTCCCTCTGCAGGAGGAATAGCCAAAAATGCACCAAAAATGGTCGGGGGGCGATTTTTCTACAATTGTTCTGACTGTGTTTGGATCTTGTTTTAAGCATGTTTTCTTTGTCGTCCCACATGCGCCTGCAGAGGGACACGCCCGGCCTGGGTTTTTGGCTCAGCAGTGCTGCTGGGCTCCCCCGACGAGGCTCGGCCGAAGCACCCTGGGGCCCTGGAGCCCTGTTGTGGGCGGCGCGCCCGGGGGGGGGGGGCGAGAGGTGACGGGCCTGTTGTCCACCACCACCACCAGAAGTTGGAAAGGGGAGGGAGGTGGAGGATGAGGAGGAGGAAGAAGAGGATCAGGCGATCGCAAACATGGATGAAGGGGGCGTGGATCAGCGACGGGTCCCGTTTCCCTGGGGAATCGCGGATTGCCGCCGCCGAGCGAGGCAGCACCGGCCGCATTTTGGGGAGGGCACCTCCCCCGATCCATGGATTTGGCGACCACGCGCCGAATCCATGGATCGCTAATCCATGCTTGCGCGCCCCCGAGTTTTCCACCACCACCAGAAGTTGGAGGGGAGAAGGAGATTGAGGATGACGATGAGGAAGAAGAGGAGGAGGAGGAGGAGGAGGGCCCCTCCCCCTTCTGCTTCTGGTGATGGTGGTGGTGGGACGCAAGCCCACCAAAAGGGGAACAAGCAATGGCATAAACATAACGACTCGGAGGTCCGCGCAGATTTCTCGGATCGGCGCTCGAGCCCCCCGGCGGCGCATCCGGTGCCGCCCCTGGCGCGCGGAGCGCGCCAGGGAGGGGGTTCCAGCGCCGATCCGGGAAATCCGCGCGGACCTCCGAGCTTTCATGTGCACGTGATTGCTTGTTCACCTAAAGTGAGGAGGGGCGGGCCTTCTCAGAAGGGTCGGAAGGCCTTCAGCCTTTTGAGAAAGCTTTCTAAGCCCTCCCCGAAGACACTAACAAATTCCCCAAAGGCTCGAGGGCTTCTGAGAAGCCCCGCCGCCTTTGAGAAGACCTGCTCCTCCTCACTTCCCCCTCTGGGCGCTCCGCCCACTTGGGGCCTGTGCTGCGGTGCTACCGTGCAGTCTTGTGGATCCCTCGTGGTGTTCTGGGGGCCGTCTTGGGCAGATCGTAGTGCTTCCCCCGGCGGTGCCTGATGCCTTCCCTTGGCTTGCATTAAGTCGGGCATGTCCCTCGACAAGGGGAATACTCAGGAACAGTACAAAAAAACAGTCTGGGGGCGATGCTTCGTGCTCTGTTGCGTTTGTTGTTGAGTATTGTTTGACTGTTTCATGTGTCTTCCGAAGCCCGCCCGTAGGAGGACATGCCTGACCTAAAGTTTACACCACAAAGAATAGGGTCAGGGCTCATTTCGATTCCTCCGATTCGATGTGATTCGATTTCGATGGATTCCGATTCCGACTCGATTCGACATCGGATTCCGATTTGGATTCCGATTTCTCAATGCAGGCTTACTAGCCTGCCGATGTATACCGATTCGACTTTTTCCGACTCGGCTGCCGATCCGATTCATTTCGATCGCCGATCCGACTTATCGATTCGATTTTAGGCTCTCCTGTACGGTAGGTTCGCGTCGTGTCGACCGACGGCGACCCCGCCGCCAGCGTTCCACCTTGAACATCGCTGGCGACCCAGAATGAGTCGGCGTTGAACGATCGGACGTTTCGGAAACGGCCGATCTTTCAAAGTTGAACAATCCCCGCGGTGTCAGTAACCAACGCCCGGGTCGACACGACACGAACCTGCCGTACACCGCATACATTACATAGTACACCTCACATGAAGCTGTCCCCTCTGGCTGGCACCGGACAGCTTGTACGATATGGCTTGCACAACTTGACTGGACACCGCATAGCGTACACCTTCATGGCTCACACCACACAGCTTTCACCTCATAGCTTACACAGCATATTTTTCACCGCCGTATCTCACACAGCTTACACGGCATAGCTTTCACCACATGGGTTATCTCCACCTCCTCAGTTCATGACTCGCTGCTTGGGGACCACGCTGGCTAGCGTGGTTGCTGTCCACGTTTTTCGGATGTGTGGGCCTCGCTGAGGGCCTCTTCGTGCGTCGCTCGCAGGTCAGCTGTGGCATGTTGGAGGGATCTTGGATTAGGCCTGGGACGTCCCTCTGCAGGAGGAATATAGACAAAAAGTGTTAATAAATAGTCTGGGGACGACTTTTCTAGTATTCTTGACATGGTTTGAACATGTTTTGACTAATTGTTTCTTTCGTCTCCAAGATCCGCCTGTATAGGTGGGCACGCCCAGCCTAAGAATCTTGGAGCCTGCAGACGCTCGTGATGCCACCTGTGGATGGCCGAGCGACGTCGTGCAGCGGATCTGCACCGAGTCCGTTCTGATTTACGGGGGGCGGCTCTGGGGAGCACGGGTATATCGCGTTCTACGTGCTCAAGGGCCTCCTGTCATTTGGGCAGCGTGATTCTCTATCGAGGGGGGGGGGAAGACAAGGAATGCTTTTCGGGCTATCCCCCTCGCGCGGACAGCAACCACCGACAATATTGGAAGTCGAGTCGGAAGCTGGAACATATACGTAGCACCCCGCAATTGCGGATAAGAGTGAGGGGGCGGGCGCGGGCGACGCGGGCGTCGTCGAGCCGGCGGACCTCGTGGCCCCCACCTTCCTTGTCGATGGTGCTCTCCTCCTCCTCCTCCTCCTCCTCTTCCTCGTCCTCGTCCTCGTCCTCATCGTCATCGTCATCGTCATCCTCCTCCTCCACCTCGTCCTCCTCCTCCTCTTCTTCCTCGTCCTCCCTCTCCCCCCTCGTCCTTTCATCATCGTCCTCCCATTGTCGTCCTCCCCCTAATCGGCCTCCATCATCGTCCTCCCATTGTCGTCCATCATCATCATCATCCTCCTCCTCCCCCTCCTCGTCGTCCTCCTCCCCCTCCTACCCCTCCTCCCCCTTCCCGTCCTCCTGCTCCTCCTCCTTTTCGTTCTCCACATTCTCCTTACATCCTCTCTTCTTCCGCGTTCTCCTCGTCCCCTGTTTACTCCTCCTGCCCGCCCTCCTTTCCCAAGATAACTGCAACGCAATCTTTTTTTCCACTTCATGCTCCCCGCCTTCTCTGATCAAGGCAACCCGCCAGGGCAGAGTTGCTGGACGGGCTGGTGTGGATGCGCGGGGCTTGAAGAGGTCCTTGCGGGCTCAGACGGCATGCAAAAATCCGCCGCCGCGCTTGTGCGGCATTGGTTTGTTCAGTGAACGTGGTTTAGGTCGCGGGTGGGTCGCGGGCGCTCCACCTCCACTTGGAAGGCGCCAACAAAATGATTTGTACACTGAACGTGGTTTGGGTCGCGGGTGGGCCGCGGGTTCTCCACCGGGAACGAATGCAAAAGTTGCCCGCCGCAGGCGCCGAAAGATGTGGTTTGTACCCTGAACGTGGTCGCGGGTGGGCAGCGGGCTCTCCACCTGAAACGAATGCAAAAGATGCCCGCCGCAGGCGCCGAAAAATGTGGTTTGTACCCTGAACGTGGTTTGGGTCGCGGGTTGGTCGCGAGTTGGTCACGGGGTGGGTCGCGGGCTCTCCACTTGGAAGGAATGCGAAACAAGCCAGCCGCAGGCGCTGAAAATGGTGGTTTGTACCTTGAACGTGGTTTGGGTCGCGGGTGGGTCACGGGTGGGTCGCGGGGTGGGTCGCGGGTGGGTCGCGGGTGGGTCGCGGGTGGGTCGCGGGTCGCGGGTGGGTCGCGGGTGGGTCGCGGGGGTGGGTCGCGGGTGGGTCGCGGGGTGGGTCGCGGGTGGGTCGCGGGGTGGGTCGCGGGGTGGGTCGCGGGTGGGTCGCGGGTGGGTCGCGGGGTGGGTCGCGGGGTGGGTCGGGGTGGGTCGCGGGGCGGGTTGCGGGTGGGACGACGACAACAACAACAACAACAACAACAACAACAACAATCATTTTACCCGAACGCTCAGTGTTCTCCCCAGTGCCAGGGTTTTCATGCGACGCCAGCCAATACCCCCACTTCGTGGGGGGGCAATGCAAGCTCTACCAAACATCCACACGACTCTCGGGAACCACCCACACCCAGCTTCCCGCCCTATGACGTCAGGACACTTCA